CCACAAAGTCGAAGTTTTAGGTCCTTAGTTCAATGGTGGTTGGTTCTAGTCTAGGTTCCAAACATTGGGAAGGAATTTAGGGCATCATTGCACACTTATAGGGAGTTTACGGCCTTGGGAGATCCTTGGCCGTAAACTCTCTTCCAACCTATAATTCTTGATGTTTCTAAGGCCTAAACAAGTTCAATCTAGTACACCACAAGCTAGGGCAAGAGTCCTTACAATGTAGAAGCTTGAAATGGTCGGTTTTGGCCAAGAACACTAGTGTGTGTTCTTGGTGAAACTTGATGATCTATGAAAATGAAAGGATTTCATGGATGAAATCATGAGAGAATGCTAGATTAAGAGGTGTATCAACAAGTCAAAGAAGAATACTTACTAGTTTTGAAGATCTAAGGTGAAGATCGAGATAATAGTTGAGAGAGAAATCAGGTTTTCTCTAGTTTGGAAAGTGAGAAATGAGGTAAAAATGACTAAGGGTCATATATATACTCCTTAGAATTTACAGCCGCAAACTCCATGTTTGGGCCGTAAACTCCAAACTCTTGGAGTTTTGGGACTTCAATGTTGCACATTTAACCCTGGAGTATACTTCCTATGATTACCTTTGATGTATTAAAGCTCAGAATGCTCAAACGGACACCAAACGGGCTAAAAGTAAGCATAAATGAGTTTGACTTTCAATTAAGTGTTTGACTCGACACGATAGAAAATTTCGGGTTGTCACACACATGATGTATGGTTTTGATGATTTTAAAACTAAAAATATTTATCACTATTTTTGGGATGTTACAAAATAGATGATGAATGTTATGAATGTGAATCTTTAGTTTCATCAAACGAATCCATAAGTGATGTTTATAGGTTGGGGTGCAAATCAGCCAAACTACTCGTGAGCTACTCAGGATCGATTCATTAAAAGCTCGACTCGAAACCAATTTTAAACAAGGCCAAGCCAAGCTCGATTTTAATATTAAACTCGTTTATTAAACGAGTCCGAGCTCGAGCCTATGTCACTAAGCTCGATTAGGCTTGTGAGCTTAAACTAACCTATATATAATATAATTTATTGTTATTTTTATATACTAAAATAAAAATATTTAGGGAGTTAGGGATTTATCGTATTAATAAACAAGCTTTTTAATGAGCTTGAACCGAGCTTAAATTTATTTAGGCATGTTAGACAAAAAACGAGCCGAGCTTGTTTAAAATTTTACGAGATCGAGCCTAGTTTAGTACAAGAAATATCGAATCAAACCGAGTTCAAGATCAAGCCTCACATAACTTAAATGAGCCCGAGTCGATCCTGCCCAGGCTGATGCTCGGCTGGGCTCGTTTGCACCCATAATTATAGGGATGGTTTAGAAAAGATTGGAGAATTTTTAAATCAAAATAAATAAAGAATATTACGAAAGAGACTTTAACTAAAGAAGATAAAAAAACAATTTTTTTAACAACACACAACACATTAGTATAACATTAGAAAGGACTTAAGCAAGGAGCTCAAGCGAAATTACAAAAATAAGTTTGAAATAAGAGACATACCCGAAATCGACCAATCAAAAAGATGGAGTTTGGATCTATTCTTAACCCAATTAAAAATAGTAATGCTAATGTCTTCCGCAAAAAGCATAACAACTCTCTTGTCATTTCGATACACAAAAGCATTTTGAGCATTCCAAATTGTCTAAAGGGAATAATAAACGAGAGTTAAGTGCATAAAAAAAACAACAAATACAAAAGAACTCCAATGACAAACATATTTCGTTGTGATAAACAAAATTCTGAATAGTCTTGCAATGTTGTTATTGAATCTGAGATGAGTTAAAATTCATTGGAAGATTAGATTGATTGTTCCAATTTTGTGATTAATGATGAAAAAACCAAAAAAAAAAAAAAAATTCTTGAAGATCATAATAAATTTGAAACAGATGTTGAAAATAATGGAATTGGAAATTTTGTTGCAAACGTTGTTGTTTTCCAAAAGTCTAAATTACTCCAAATCAAGTTTTCGTTACGAAAGAACTTGAATGTCGAGTCCATTTCACAAAATAATGTAGGAAATTATGATGTCCCAATTACGAAATAAATTTCTAGACAAAAAAAACGAATCAAATGATGTGAAAGGAAAATCAAAAGTGAGTGATCAGAAAGTTAAGACTAACAAGTCAAAAAAAGATATTGATCAAACCATGAGAGCTAGATATTAGAAAAATCTTGATGAAAGAAAGAAGTTTTGTAGAGAAATCTTTTTAGCAATTTTGAATAATGTTCATAAATCTCAAAATGTTGTATGTTCATGTTCATGGTCATGCTCAAAAGAATGTAATCAAAGTCCAACAACTCATCAAGGTTTTCTAATCACAAAGATTATTCACAACAATTTGATAACATTAAGGCAAACTTTGGTCCAAACTCTTATTACAACAAGAGTGTAAAGTCAAAATAGTTTGTTGCGAAACAAGATTTTGTTCAAAAAAAGAGTATCTCAAAAGAACAATTTGTTTAAAACAAGATTTTTTTCATGATAACATTTGTTTCCAAAAAAGGATGTTTCAAATCCACAAGAGTTTGTCCCAACGAAAAAGGTTTCAGAACAAAAAGTTGTTAAAAAAAAGTTACAATAAAAATGTTTGTTCCAAAAACAAAAATGACAACACAAAATGAAGAAGAATATTTTTTTTCAAAAGAGTTGATTCTGAAAATAAAAGCTTTTATTCAAAACAAAGAACTTTTGTGGAAATCAATCTTTGTGACAAAAAATCTTAAATTTACAAAATGATGAAAGATATAAATAATGTTCCAATTATAAAATCGTTTTAGATTGATAAGACCAAGATTTTTCCATTTGTTGACTCTAAATCTCAAATCTCAATAGGACCCAAAAAGGTTTGGGTTCTTAAATTGCCTTAATTGTGCAAGTGATTCGTGATAAGTAGTATAATTCTGAATGACATATTGATAGTGACTGTTCACTTCACATGGCAGGGTAACTATCATTGTTACATATATGTCACGTAAGTTGTAATTTGTTACAGCCGATCATAATGATCATATGTTTACACTTCCATCAAATTTGTTACCTAGATATACATACAAAAAAAAGTTACAAAAATATGAACAAAACGAAAATGTAATTACCCTATTAGTCAATTTTTGAACCTTTAAAAATATTTTTAATTTTTTTGATAAAGGTTATTTATGGTGTCTCTGGAAGTGTCTTTCAATCAACTTATTTAACCTTCTAAAAAAGACAAAAAAAATCTTTACTTTTTAGAGAAAATCTCAAAAAAACACAACATATTTTTTTCAAATGCTTAAAAAAATAATTATATTATTTTTTAATGCACTAAAACCCTTATATTTTATGAAATTCTTATTTAAGGTTTTCCGACATCAGAAAAACCTAATCTATTTTCGTAAAAGGATTAAAAAAAAACCATTATATTAATTTTTAGTGCATTTAAACCCTCATATTTTTTTTTGAATTTTTTTAATATAATGAACTGTAACAATTAAAACGTTAAGAATCGATTACCTAATATTTTTTGCTATCTAGGATTTACCAAACTCAATGTCTTAAATGATATATTTTAAAAAATTTAAAGTTTTAACGCACAAAAAGATAATATAGTGGTTTTTTTTAGGATTTTGATGAAAATAGGAGATTTTCCATACTTTTAAAAAATATCATATTTTTGCCTAAGAAATTAATGTTTACCGAACATTTTTTGAACTTTATTGAAATTTTAAAATATCAATAAATTGATAAATAATTTTAAAAATCATGACTAATGGGGTGTTTGAATAAATAGTTTTTAGCTTATTAGCTTATTGCTTATTTGCTTATTTGCTTACTGCGGTGGAAATAAACATTTTTTAAAAATATGTTTGGATTAGTTTATTGCAGTGGGAATAAACAATAAGCAATAAGCATTGTAAGTGTTTGACAAACAAAACAACTTATATGAGTAAAATGATCAATAAACAATAAGCAATAAATATTCCCCTTTGTTTATTAAAATCAGCTTATTTGATTTATTCCTACCGAAATAAACTGATTTTTAAAGACTTCTATCCGAACACTTACCTTATTAAAATCAGCTTATTTGATTTATTCCTACCAAAATAAGCTGCTTATTAAAATCAACTTATTTGATTTATTCCTACCAAAATAAGCTGATTTTTAAATACTTCTATCAAAACACCTAAATTTGTTTATTACTATGGAATTAAACATTAAACAACCTATTATTTTTTTTTTTTTTTTTTTTTTTTTTTTTTTTTTTTTTTCCTATGCAAGCAACCGTGGAACCATTAACTCATTAACTCAACATAATGGGTTTTTCAAAACCCTACAAACAAATGCGGAACGACCTCAATTGTCCTAACTAGGAGAAGCTTTCAAAATTGGCCTGACCTAAACGTCGCCTCTTCTCTCTCGCCTCCACTCCTCCACCTCGCGCTCTCCAGCCATCGTCACCCTCCCACACCTCCAGCGCCACCGTCGCACATCAGATGTCGCCTTCAGGTACGTTCTTTCAGTTTTTCCTTTTTTCTCTTGTTTTTTTTGCTGAAATTGATGATGAAGTCGCAATGTTCTCCCCAACATACAATGAAATCGGTTATGAAGTTGATTATTTGCTGGTTTTTGCTAAATTATTTGATGGAATTATGCTCTGATGCTAGGGAATCTGTGATGCAAAGTTTCTGAAGTTTGAAGTTTGATTGATGAACTAGTGTATAGTTGATGACATCTGTGATGAAATTATTTGCACATTTTACCTATTAAGCGTTAACATATTAAACAACATATAGTTCATATCATGAACAAGTCCCAATTGCTCACATTACCTAACGGGTTCTAGCAGTTGCCTATTAAAAACTAACTAGGTATATTCAATGTGCAGGGTGAAGTAACAGGGAGTTCATGCAAGAGGAGGAACAAAAGACAAAGGAACACAGCTTCATTCACGAAGGTGTAAAATTCTGACAAGAAAATGAAAAAAGTTTCAAGGAACAAGAAAAAAAGAGAAGGAGAGCCATCGGAATTGGTTATTTCCACTAGTCATGTTAACGAGGGTAAAAACATTGCTGGAATGAGTGACAAAAAGAACAAATTGAAGAAAAAGAAAAGAAATAAAGAAAATAGTGAAGATAATGCCAACCAACAAAATGGTATGCACTCACAAGCTTTGACTAATTTAATAAGGTCCTGTTTCTTTTTTTCCCCATTAAGGCATTGTTTCATTTCATCATTTGTATGGCTACATTACATAATATAATGCCTTTAAATTTTGGCAGATAATCTGGAAGGTGCAAATTCTCCAAAGAAGATGAAAAAAGCTGCAAGAAACAAAAAGAGAAAAGGCATTGAGACAAGTGAAGTTGCTCCCCCTCCTACTCCAGATGATGATGTTAAAACCAGTCACAAGAAAAAGAAGAAATTGAAAAAACAGAAAAAGAAAGGAAAAGAAGATGGTGTCGTTGAGCATCTTTTGCACTCTAGTGAAGTTGGATCCAATTCTAACCAACAAATCGGTATGATATGAATTGTTTCTTTCATTTTCTAACTTGAATTATCTACTTAACGAATATGATCTTACATTACTTATATAGGTAACTCAAAGAGTATCTCTCAAATAAAACCCGATGACAATGAAGACGGAGTTTATGAAATTTCCTCAGGGGATGAGGATGAGACAACAGGAATGAAAAGTACGTATTTTCAACAATTATATTTATTATTATATATATACATTGATTCAAATCTCGAAGATGTTTAGAAGATCATCATCTGATGGTTATTGATAGGATGGATTGGTGAATACCATGGAGGTAGACCTGGAGCAGAGGTTTTGTTGCAAAGGATCAACGACTTCTTAGTTGACCACTGGGCACAGAAGGAAAAGGTACTTTTATTATGATTTGTGAGGGGTTTAGTTTATAATTTATAAAAAAATAAAAATAAATGCATTGCAGGAAAGAAAAGAAAGGGAGAGTGAAGCAGCAGAAGGTGGATGGACAGTTGTGACACATATGAAAGGAAGGAAAAAGACGACAGATGTGGAAAGTGGTACAACTGTTGGGTCTGTTGCTCAGGCTGCTGTCGTGGACAACATCTCCAAAAAGAAGAAGAAACAAAACCAAGACCAAGTTGGCCTCACTTTCTATCGTTTTCAGAGAAGAGAGGCACAAAGAAATGGTAAACCCAAAACTAAATAAAATACGATATGATATGCTAAAAATAAACTTGTGTGTGTGTGTGTGTGTGTGTTTCAGAGATCATGATGCTACAGAGCAAATTTGAGCAGGACAAGAAAAGGATACAACAATTGAGAGCTGAAAGGAAGTTCCGACCCTATTAGCACCTCACCTCAATTCACAAATTTTGAATTTCGTTTTTATCTGTAACATGAGAGCTGTTCAAGTCAAGGGGGTCAAAATTTTTGTTCGTTATTAAATTATTGACTGATCATAGAGATTTCACTAAACTTTTGTAAAATCTATTCTGTTTTGTATGGTTTGGTTTTGAATGATTCCATTATTGTCTAGTTTTTGGTTTTCATTTTTTGCTTGTACAAAAGTATTAGAGGTAATACTAAAATAGATCGCCATCAGTGAATTCATTAAAGAAAATATTTGTTGAATATATAAATAGTTTTAGAGTGTCTGTTTGAATTAAAAAAACCAACGTTTCTGATTTAGATGGTTTTGAATTAAGAAAAGCCCAGTTATGGGTGGTTTCCCACAGCTTTAACTTGAGGAATGTGAGCTTCTTAGGAACGTATGTTCATGTGAAAGGTTGAATCAAGTAAAGGGGGTCATGGTTGAAATGGGTAATCTTCATAAAGGGTGCATGATTATCTTGACATCAAGAAGTCTAGATGTATTTAATGATATCAACGCTCAAAAGGATCTTGATCCTATAGCTAGTAAGGTTGCCAAAAGATGCTAGGATTGTCTCTTGCAATTGTAACAGTTACCAAAAGATGCTTTAAGAAACATAAGAGAAAACATGCTTGGTGTGATGCAGTATGTCGGTTAAAGAGTAGTTCTATAACTAATGATGTTGAAGGAATGGTGCAAATATCTTTGCATCATTGGAGAAGAGCTTTAACTTTGTAAAAGTGAAGAATCAAAGTCTCGCTTCTTGATTTACAGGTTGTCCCAAGAAGACCTTGACATTTTAAATCGAGTATTTGGTGAGATATGGGAAAGGTTTAAGGGTGCTTCAAGATGTCCATGCATTATATAGAAGAAGCAAGAGACATGTGCAAACCATCATTGAGAATCTTAAAGCTTGTTGTTTGTTATTGGATAGTGAGGTGGAAGACATTCCGAATGCATGATGGTACTTAGGACTCTCATTGGTTTGGTATATACCTCTAAATTTTATAAAAATTTTGAGTTTGAATTATCATGTTAAACATTAGATGAATGCTTGTGGGTTTATGCAAAGAACCACAACAAAACATGTACATGTAACGTGATGGTAGGTAGACCTGCACATTTGCAGTTCTAGACCGGTCTTGGGTCGGTTTCGAAACGGTCCGGTCTTTTTGAAGTCGTTCTCGGAACGGTCCGGTCTTTTTTCAAACCGGTCCCGTTCGATTTTTTCTGATTCGGTCTTTTTTCGGACCGGTCTTTTTGTGGACCAGTCTTTATTTGGACCGGTCTTTTTCGGTCTCGTCTCCCGGTCTTTCCATACGTCTTTTTCGGTTTGATTTACGGGTTTTTTTGTTCGGTTTCTGTAACTTTCGATACTTTTGTTTTGGTTTCAAGTTTTTTCCTTTACTAAATATGAGATTATCACCAAAATAATAAATTAAGATTTATTAAAAATGATAATTTAAATTTAATAAAAGAAAAAAAAATGAAATAAATTAGATAGTTTATGATTCAAAATTGTATAACTAACAAAAAAATTATATATTTATAAAGTTTGGTTACAAATCTATTTTTTCAGACCGGTCTCAAACCGGTCCGGTCTTTTTTAGGATTAGTCTCCGAATGGTCCGGTCTTTTTCGGACCGGTTCGGGACGGTCTCAAGCCGGTCTTTTTCCGGTCCGGTCTTTTTTCGATCCGATCTCGTTTTAGACCAGTTCGGTCTCGGTTTTTTTTTGAGTTCGGTCCGAAACCGGTCTTTTTGTGCTGGCCTAATGGTAGGTGTGTTTAGAATTTAGATTCAATAAGATATGGGCCTCATGTTGGGACAAACATTGGGCCAAGATCCGGAGGGGTTTTACATAGTTGGGTTAAAGGCCCATATGCTTAGCTAAGCATCTTCAATTTTAGAACCTAAGCCTTTCGTGACCTTGTTGTGCTTTTAATAGTTACATGTATGTTAATATATAGGGATAATGACTTGATAGGATAAGATATTTTTTGAAATGTACACATTTAGTTCTTATAATTTTTTTCTTGTAAAATAAACCCTTATACTTTAATAATATGTACATATTAGGTCCTTTTCACCGGATTCTACAGGTTTTGTTGATATGGAGGGTTTATTTTATAAAAAAAAAAGAATAAGGACTAAATGTGTACATTTCAAAAAGTATCTTACCATATCAAGTCATTTTTCACTTTTTTTTTTATTTTGTTGAAATGAAATACCCAGGTGACATCCACATATCCACAACGAGATTTTTCCAACTTTTATTCATCATGAAAAAGAGGGAGAACCCCGATCTCTGGCGACTCCTTTGTGTGTTCCTACACATCACTGGTAGCAAGGAGGAATGATGGCAAAAACAGCAAGGTCGAAGGGGGAGGCAGGAGGAAGTAGAGACAGTAATTAGCGGCGAGGAGCTGCTCTGGTAGCCCCCTTGTCGATTCTTTCTTCTTTTTTCTGGCAACATATCTCAAAGATGGAGGGAAAGAGAGACAGATCGGAGAAACACAACATGTAAATGGTGTTTGGTTGTTGCTGTTCGACCGGAAGGAAGAGAGACGAGAAAGAGAAGGGTCGCCGCCCTTTTCTTGTTGCTGGAGGATCACCCACTTCCAGTGACTAAGCTAATTAATTGTTATTTAGTGCCACTAGTGCTTCCACATCAGCAAACCTGTATAATCTGGTGAAAATGACCTAATGTGTACATATTAATAAAGTATAAGGGTTTATTTTACAAAAAAGAATAAGGACTAAATGTGTATAATTCAAAAAGTATCTTACCCTATCAAGTTATTTTCCCTAAAAGAAAATTTGTATATAACCGGTATACCGGGTATAGCCGGTCACAAGGATTGCATTGTTACAAAAAATAAAGTATAAGGGTTTATTTTACAAGGAAAAAAGAATAAGAACTAAATATGTACATTTAAAAAAATATCTTACCCTATTAAATCATTTTCCCTAATATATATTATTAATTTTTTCGGGATAATAAATGAAGAGCTATTTGTTGCAAATAGAGACAAGTTTCATTTGTTACATTGTTTTCACAAAAGTTTATTAATTACATTCGTAAACTTTGTGTTTTCGGTGTACATTTGTGTGTACTTTGTGCAAAAGTTTTGTGAATCTCATCATATGCACAAATTAAAAATGGAATTCATAAAACCATCTATAAGTTGTATTTAAGTAAAATATTTTTTTTAACAATATCAGTATCAAATCAGAGAGAAAAATATTTGATTTTATAATTTGCATGGTTTAAGATTTAATTATATTAAATAGATTTTATGTTAAAATTATTTGGGTAATATAGAGTGTGATGTTGTTATTATTGTTTGTATAATCGTAAAATATTTATATCATCCCTAATAAACAAGGTTCTAAATAACGTAAGACGTGACTTGACGGTAAATCGGCAATGTCAAGCCTCAAGCTTTTCCGAGCTTTGGCGAGTCACGTTGTTTGTAAAGCGTGACTTAAGGCGACAATTTTGTATATAATTCATATTTTTATATGAATTTTCTACTATTATTCATTTTTATACATATATATGGGTCAAGGCGGCGTTTTGGCAAAGTTTGACGGCACATGCAAGCCTTGGAGTCATGGCGTGCCATGGCAAGCTTTTTAGAACATTGCTAATAAATGAAAATAATTTTGCTACTTGTCATCATCTGTTAATTTAAATTAAAGTATATCTATATGTCATTTTATGGTTTTTTTTTGTTTTATTAAATTTCAAATAATACTTAAATTTCATAAATATATATCCAATTTATTAATACAACTTTCCTTATAACTTCAAAAATTTTAAATTGAATTTAATTATTTTAGTTCTTTATTTATTAGTTTAAATTTAAAAGATAAATAAATATTTCAATTTTAATAATTAATATTTTATTTGTTTCTTATGAATTTAAATTTTCTAAATTGATAGATCTTCATTGTTTATTTTTTTTAAATAAACCTATGTAATATACATAAAAATAAGTATTTTTTTTTTTTTTTCAAAAGTCGAAAATACTAATAAAATTATAATTTCATTTTTTTAAGTAAAATACCGAAAACCTGTTAGTTTCCGAGGTTTGTTGAACATCGATCGATCGAGATTCGTGAGGGACATGGCAACTTCAAAATTGGCAGCAGCAACGGCTGAGAGGGTGGTGAAAGCGACGAGACGGCAAGCCCTAACTTTAACAGAAGCGGCGGCGGGTAGGATACGCCACCTCCTACAGCAGCGCCAACGCCCTTTCCTTAAACTCGGCGTCAAAGCTCGCGGTTGTAACGGCCTTTCGTATACCCTAAATTACGCAGGTTAGGTCTATCAAAAATTTCCTGTGTTAAAAATTTCGGTAGACTATCATCTAATCTTCTGGTTATTTGACTTCTTATTGATGGTTTTAGAAATTTCGTGCCTGAAATGTTTTAGGATTTCCCGCTTAACATTGGTTTTTAACGAACGGGTTCGTTCCGCTGAATTTGTAATCATGAAATCGAGAAAATATGAATCAACAAAAGAAACACCGATGATATTCAGTGACATATCAACTATGTGAATGGAACATGTTTCGTTGTATAATCAAATAGAGAACAGATTTTGTCCACCTAGAGCAAAAAGCATTTGAAACTTCAAACTTGTAACTGAGTGTTCTCAATCACACCATATACTAACCTATGTGCTCTTTTTTATAAGAATGTGGAAATAGCAGTATATCCATTCATCATGGTCTTCAGGTGTTGTTAATCTTGCAACAAAATCACTAGTAAATTTGCAGAGGGAACTGGGAATTAATATACTCACAACCATGGAATTTTTAATACTATAATTTTCATTCTAGAGTTACAAAGTTGCAATAGTAATCATATGAGCACTGATATTTTAAATAATGTATAGATGAAAAAGGGAAATTTGATGAGTTGATTGAGGAAAAGGGTGTGAAGATATTGATAGATCCAAAGGCTCTTATGCATGTTATTGGTACCAAAATGGACTTTGTGGACGACAAGCTAAGGTAAAAATTTTGGTTCTTTTGATTATTTAAATGTGTTTCATTTTTACTTAATACAGAAAAAACGATTTAGTTTATTTGTATTTGTTTTTTTTTTTTTTTTTTTGGGTGCAGATCTGAATTTATATTTATCAATCCAAACTCAAAAGGGCAGTGTGGTTGTGGTGAATCTTTTATGACAACAAGTAGCACAGAATCTACAAAAGCTGGTGGCACTTCTTAGTCAAATTC